CTTACCCATGTGAATAAAAGCTGACTTTTGGATCCTACGTTATTCAAGAGAGAGAAAGGCTATTGATCTTTGTAGAAACTAATGGGTCTACTGTATTCTCATTTTGGGGACCTTAGTCTCCTCTGTATAGCTGAGAAGGAAGTTCATAAGCGGGGCCAAGCACCTCTGCAACTCCCACCAAAACCAACATTTTCAGCACCTTTAAAATCAGAACCTGTGTGTGGTCACTTAAGTAATTTGTGCTGGCATATAAACCGTTTGTTTCTAAACAGCACTCTGTCTCTCCTGCTCTTTCTCTGCCATCACCTACTAATTTGCTTATAGATTATTCCACCTCCAACAAATCTGATGGGTATCCTCAGGATGAAAAAGAATTCTTAACAGCATATACACTGGGCCTCGTGACTATCCCAAGCTTTACAAAATGTCTGTCAAGGTGGCCTCATTTCTTCTCATAGGAAATGTTCTGCATGACAGGCCTCTGGAGATAGCCCTTTTTTTGCCACGATAGCCTGGAAATATTTCTCAAGGAAGCCCAATAGCCATTTCCTTGCATTCGGAGGTGTTTAGAACAGTACTTATTTTACTCCCAGGGGAATTCCATGCCAAAAACGTTAAAATTGTTGTGCCAAAAATTGAAAATTCTGCACAATTCTACAAAATTTTGCAAATTGTTTTTGTCAAAATAACACTATATAATCATGCCAGTTTTAATTATTTTGGTGACTTCTTTTTTAAAAAGTGCCTGTCAGCAAATATGCCTAACAATCCACAGACACACAAAAAGCTTCTCCTAGGAGCAGAGGGTTATAAAACCCCCATGTCAATTCAACTTCTGTTTCTCTTGCCCCTCCTGCTCAGAGTCCAATTGGGGTACTTCTACACTGCAACACTATTTTGAAATAACTAGCGTTATTCTGAAATAACTTAGTCACCACCTTCTTACTCCGACTCCTGTAACCCTCGTTGTACGAGGAGTAAGGGAAGTCGAAGGAAGAGTGCTCTATTTTGAAATAAATGCTGTGTAGATGCTTCCTATTTTGAATAAGATATACAATTGATGTAGCTCAATTTGCGTAGCTTATTTCGAGTTAAGCCTTGCAGTGTAGACGCATCCTTTGGGGACCAGATACTCACATTTCTTCCTTCCCCTCCAGAGCCTAGCCATGGGGCACCTCCAACCCAGACACTTGCCCTACTCTCTGAGCCCAGCTATGGACTCCTCAGCTCAGACACTGACAGACCCTACCCTCCTAGAGCCTAGGGATCCAGAGAGAGAATCAGCATGATGCTGGGTCCTGTGCTTGCATGGAGTTTCCTGTGCACCACAGCCTCCTTCCTGCAGGGCATGCTGGGAGCTGCAGCTGCCAGGAGCCCTACAGTTCCCTTCCATTCCCCAACAGCCTTGTCTTCTATTTCTGAGTGAGACTCTCCTGGGTCCTGTAGCCACCAGATGCAACCAACATCTTTGCAGCTCATTTTTTTTTGGGGGGGGAAGGAAATTCTGTGTGCCCAACATAAATGTCTGCAACATTCTGCGTTGTTGCACAGAATTCCCCCAGGAGTATTCTCTCAGAAGCTGCCTTTCCCATCAGAGACCCCGAGTGTTTCAATATGACTGACTGCTTCCTTCCCAGGGGCTGTGAGCATCACCCTTGTAACACCCTGTCTGCTTGACTAGGGAGCCTCACAACAAATTCAGATTTCAGCCCTCCCCTGCCCTGCCTTGTGGAACAGATGATAGTTTTAGGTCACCATTAACAATCAGCTTAAGAAAAAGAGAGCCCAGAAGCATTCTATCCTGATGATCATACAGCTTTTGAATCCTAAAGATTCTGAAGCATATTGAAAAAACAGGCGTTGTGGAGAGTGATTAATAGTAGGGCTATTAGCATTAAGAAACAAGATGCAGAAACCATGTAAAGAGCTTTAAATTAGCTGAGAATACCTCAGTTTGGGAAGATGTTCAACTCAATATACTACATTTTATTCAGCTGTTGCAGCTGATACCAAGCCACATGCCCAAGCTTAAACTCTGGACTTTACACAGAGTGCATGTAAAATATTACCCTCTCAGAATGGCAAATAGCAACACAGGACTGTTATGTGTCTAGTTAATGACGATTCAAGATTGTCCAGTAACAGGGTCAACTGGAATTATTTAATCAAAGATTATCAGAGATTAGTACAGTACTATACGGAACACAGAAAGAACTGATACATTAGCCCCTTTATGTGAGATAGCTCTGTGTCTCTTCCACACTATAACTGGAGGGAGGTGACAGATTCATTCACCAAGTACCCATGGAAGTATCACTATATAGGGGTTTCAAACAAAGAAATCTCTGTGCCAAAAGAAACATATGTTCTTATGTTATTTCTATACATTCTCAGTTTACCTGATTTATGTGTAAAGGCATGATTAATTACAGCTGAGAAGAGTAACAAGATAATATATTTCAATGGGCCTTTCTTCTCCCATAATCATTCTTTCCTATCTGCTGTAACAATTATCCCTTATCAGTTTCCCTGGTTAATATATGCTAATGTAAACATCGTTTTATATGAGTTCTATGGACAGAAGTGCTCAGGATTACAGTCTAACACAGAATTCCTGAATAAATTTACTTATCGGTCAAGGAGCATTGTTCTTGACCTTAGAATTCAACACACTTCGTGAATATTGTAAAGAGTCTAAAGAATAGTTCATATATAAATGAATCACATATACAGAAAGAAAAAGGACTACAAGGCTTAATATTTACTAACAGATACTACAGGTTGAAACTCCCTTAATCAGGATTCTTTGGTCCAGCAACATCCATGGTCCAGCATGTATGTTGCAGGACAAAAGTCCCAGTGGAGAGCCAGCAGCAAGGATCCCTGTGGGGCTGCCCACACTGAGCTGCTGGCAAGGCCTCCCAGCATGTGGCAGTGGGGCTGCTCAGCAGGGTTGGGAGCCCGGTGCATGGCTGCCCAGTGTGTCCCGCAGTCCCAGCGTGGCCCATGCGGCTGCCCAGCAGGTCCCCCAGCCACAACAGCAGTGGCTGCCCAGCGGGGTCAGCAGAGCAGCGGGGCCAGCAGGAGGGAGGGCCAAGCCAGGGGGACTGGTAACGGGGTCAGAAATGACCTCCTCTGGTCCAGCAAAATCCCTCATCTGGAACCTGTCAGGTTCTTCGGGTGCTGGACCAAGGAGGTTCAACCTGTAACAAGTTGGAGAATCTAGCCCTAGAAGGTGAAGAAAAACAGGGTCACACTGTCTATGAAGGACACATTTATAAATAGTTTGTACATGGTTAATAAAAGTTTTGCTAAGTGGTTACTCAATTATTATAGAATCCAACCTGTCAATGGGTAGCTTATAATGAATTCTAAATACCTTCTACTGAAGAGCTTAGAACAACGTGACACATTGCTCATCTCTATAGCTTCTATCATTTGTTAATCCTAACACAGTGTTTCTCAAACTGAGACATCTCCAGGGGCTCCGCGAGGTTGACAAACTAGAAACATCGATAGTATAACACATAGGTTGACAAACTAGAAATATCGATAGTACAACACACACAATCAGTGGAGCTGGGGCTCCGCACAAATTTTTACGCATGTAAAGGGCTCTGGAGCCCAAAACATTTGAGAACCGCTGTCCTAACAAACTATTTATGAAGGTACCTTCAATATGAAAAGTGTGATCAGATATTCATTTGCACAACAATACTATCGTATCTGCACAAAGGTGCCAAAAATCCCTTGGATTTCCCTAGTTTTTGATTCTCTTTTTGTAGAGTGACTCTTCAGGAAACATAGAACTGGCATAGCTGAAGTCTACACTACAGGGTAGTGTCGACCCAAGATACGCAGCTCCACCAATGTCAGTACTGTAGCTGGAGTCGACGTACCTCAGGTCAAGTTGAAGGAAGTCAACAATGCCCGGTAGTGTAAGATCTTAGCTCTATATTTCCAGATGAGTCATGACTGGCCATGGCCATGCCCTGGCCTTTTTTCTCCTAGGAATGGCCCCTAGGCTGGAGGCTAGGATGGAACTAGTGCCGGGCTCAATGGGAGAAACTCTCCTGTTGACCTCCCTAATGCTTCTCTTTCTGGTGGAGTACCACAATCAACAAGAGAGTGATCAACAGTCTATTTAGTGGGTCTTTATAAGACCTGCTAAATCAACTCCCAGGGGAACAGTCACTGCAGTGCTGATCTCCCAGTATGTATAGACAGGGCTTCCTGCATTACTTCCAAGTCAGGCCTCATGTAAGGAGCATACTAAGGGCGTAGAGTGCACGGTCAGACTACAGTGAAGTACTGCGGCAATACTTTACTGGGTACACTCTTGAGGCCTCTTAGCAACAGTTGTCGCTCATCATTGGTGTCAGGGCAGGGCTGGTCTTAGATTCAGGAAGCCACACCTAAATCGCACTGGCCCCCTTTAGCAGAGGATTTGATTTGAACACATCTGGCTATTGTTTGACATGATGTTTTTTTAGCTTTCACTGGCACAGATAGGAGAAGATGAGCTGAGTAATTTTGGCTGAACAATGGGTGGGCAGGAGCTGTGAGCATTTATTTTAGGCCACAAGGCATTCATCCTGTGGTCAGAGCAATTCATGGGTGTGTTTGCAGATGCCAAGAACATAGTCTCACATAAGGCCATGACAAATAGAGAGCAAATTTCCCTTTGGAAGAGCAATAAGGGTTTTGCAAGGTTTCTGAGTTCCATCTGAGAAGTCTTTAGTGCATTCAACTCATTCAGGGTGTGTCTACCCTGCACCTGTAGCTCAAAATAAGCTATGCAATTTGAACTATGCAAATTGCATAGCTTATTTAGAGACAATTTTGAAATAGCTTATTTCATAATTTGGCTCTGTCTACACTGCGCCAAATTTCGAAATAACCCGCTATTCTGAAATGTCCCTTACTCCTTATGGAATGAGGTTTACAGGGACATCGGAATAGTAAGCCCATTATATTTCAAAATAATGGACGCGCTGTTAAGACACAAGATAGCTATTTCGGGATACCTCCAGTATTCTAAAATAGCGCTGCAATGTAGATGTAACATCAGAAGGCACGTGCACCATTTAAATTCCTTGCATAAGGGTAATCTTCAGCAAGCTGTAGTTCTACACTAATTCCATCCTGGCCCCCAGCCTAGGGGCCCTTCTTAGGAGAAATTCGGCTAGGGCATGGTCAAGGCCTGAGCCTGCTCTAAATTATGCTGGGGACTAGGTCACTCTATGTGACTCTGGAATTGGGGAGACTAAAAAGGTTTCTTAATGGTTCCTCTGTCCCCTGCCCTCTATTTATACTTAAAAACAAAATCAAATCAAAGTGTACACCTAATAGCTGTTCATACATTCTAAAATGTCAGGGTCATGATACAAACCTTTGCCTCCCTCATCCACACTTGCAAGGTTAGTGGTACCTGAATTAGGTCCATAGCAACTGCTATCTTGATACACATTAAGTGTGTGGGAACAACTCACTTCCCGGAATCATGAGTTTCTAATACATTTTTAATTGCTATGAACAGGTATCTACTGGAAAGTGACAGGTGGTCTGAGTGTCGGGAGCCACAGAATGTTGTGGAATGGAACTTGACCCTCTTTTCCATTCTTTTGGTCTTGGGAGGAATTGAATTAATTCTGTGCACCATCCAAGTAATCAACGGTTTTCTTGGAGGAATATGTGGAGTTTGCTGTGATGGGGAAGAGGTAAGAGCATCTATCTATTCAGGGGATCATTTGATGACAACCACACTTCCCAGATACAGGTTGAAACTTTCTAGTTTGGATTTGATGACAACCACACTTCCCAGATATAGGTTGAAACTTTCTCGTTTGGTACTCTCTGGTTCAGCAAAATCCATGGTCCCACATGATTTCAGTTAGCTGGATGTCCACTTATCATGGGTGTGGCCAAGTTTCCCATGCTCCCATAAAGGTTGTTTATAACCCCCAAGCCTGGCTCTCAGTGTTCTGTGCTGTTATTTAGCTCTCATTTATCCCTAAATGTCATCTAAGAACCCAGTAAGCAGTGGAAGGATTGGGAATGCAGCTAGACAATATTGACCACCTGTGGTTCAGTAAATTCTCTCTGAGGGTGCCAGACTTGATAGATTCAACATGTAATAAAAACCGACAGCACAATGTATTGGTCAGTAACCAAAGTACATCAGGGTCTAATCCAGGAGAACATTCAGTTCCATTATTTCCCTGTCATTGTTTCTCTTCTAAAGCTCAGGTTCAATAAGTGAGCTTTGAGCCACATGGCTCACAAAAACCCTGTGACATTTGACTGGCCAGCATAACGGTAGCAATTTTGAGTAAGTACTCGCCTGTGTGCAAGGAACTGGGTATGCACGTGAGACAAAAATCCCCTCTTCAACTTGATGAAATTACTGGTCACTTTGGCCATGTAGGAGATGAGTTATATGCTTTAGGCACAGTCTCTTTTAGTCTTGTGGTGAGGAAGGAGTTCTCTGTCCTAATCTCCTCCTTCACCCCCATTTTCCAACATTACACAATTGTATGGTAGGCTTGCTGCTTAATTTGTTTTTGAGTTTTCATTCAGGCATCTGCAAACCTGCTACACTGATTTCAGTGGGAGCAATATACGGTCAACTAAGGATATCTGAGAAACAGACCAATATCTCCTCTGCTAGGTTCACTCATGTATTCTGGATACACCCACTCTCCCTGACTTCCATTAGGTTTTTATTCCCTCACTGTGTCCCCTCTGTCTTCTGTAGCTTTTGTTCTTTTATGAAATGAAAAAGTTGGCAACTTTTGCAATGAAAAAGAGCAAAATTCTTAAAAATCAAAGAAACCTTGTACAGAATTGTGTGAAAGCTTGGTGGCCCTGAAAATGCAAAGATAGCAATAATGATTCTGCTCAAAGTTGTTTCAAAAGACATTCTTTAGGCAGATATTGAAAATGTTTTCTTTGAGAAGTTCTTTTATGTTTATTACTGACATGGTAGATTAAGACGGCCCCTTCAAAACTGTTGTCTGCTCCTATCCACCCCTCCCGCATGATGTAACTGGGAACATTAAGACATATTTCTGATTCTGTCATAAATGGATTTTTAAAGATTAGTGGGTATGGAAACAGATCCACAATCTGGATACACATTCGACCGTCCATTAACTTTATTTTTTATAATGAACAAAGCATGAGATTGTGAGGTTTTGCTCTCCCTCATTTACCACATATTCTTTTCTTCCCCACAGAAATATGCTTGCTAGAAGATTTGCACCTGAAAATGGGCTGAACTCACTGTAATTATGTCTTTATTTGTGGTATTTTGTAAAACATTTATTTGAATGTTTTGTTTTATATTGTACATACGGTAAATTATAAATCAAATTGGTTATTTCATGCTACATTTGTTCTTGCCAAACTGCATTGTCACCATTAATTCACAGATAATTCCAAGGTTCTGTCCTTGGAAATGTGCAGGATTCCCAAAGAACACAAAAGTTATTATGTGTGTGCCCCTAAAAGCAGGAGTTGCTTGCTGTGATTTTTGTCATTATAAATATATATTTCTTGCATAAAAGGATTTCATTGGTTTATTTAAACATGCGAGTAACTGATTGCAATGATGGGGTTAACTTTCTCACTACAGGCATACAGTCTTGATTTTGATAAATAAACAGCTTTTCCCATTAATGTTTCATTGCCATTCTGAATTTGAGGTCCTCATTAAGTGCTGTCACAGAAGAAATGGTGCTTTAATTGGGTCAGACTAGGGACACTCTGGTACTAAGGACATTTTTGATATCCCTCTCATTTAACAGAAAATACAGGAAGGGACAGATTAGGGTAGGCACATAGTGAGAGTAGGGTTGCCAGGTGTCTGGTATTGACCCGCTCAGTCTGGTATTTTCGCCTCCTGTCCGGTAAAAAAAATTCAGAAAATACCTAAAATGTCCAGTATTTTCTGATTTTTTTTCCCTGCCAGGAGGCAAAAATACCAGACACCTGGCAACCCTACACTTACTCAGCAACTGGGCCCAGCCCCCAAATACTCCCCCCAGATCCGCTCTGGGTCCCCTCTCCCCTCGCTTACCTGCTTGTCCACTGTGCCACAATCTGGGAGCCAACAACGGTAAGCACCTCCTGGCCAGGGCCAGACTCTGCACCTGATACCCCCTTCCAAACAATCCCTCTGCCCCAGGTCAGAAACCCCTCTTGCACCCAAACTCCCTCCTAGATCCCACACCTCTGTCTACACTCCAATCCCCTGCCCAGAGCTCCTTTTTGCACCTGAACTCTGTCCCAGACCCCGCATGTCCTCCAGTAATATGATAGAAAAGTGTGGCCCCTGATCACTTACCAAAATTCTTAGAGTGGCCCCCTGAAAAAACTGTCCACCCCTGCTCCAGTCCTTTCTGATCCCTCCCTATTGCTGACAGTTACTTGGATTCTCCTCCCCCTCCCCACAACTTCCACAAAGCCAGAAGCCCACCACTGGTAGCACCAATGGGAGCACAAATGTACATAGGCAGCTGTTGATCACCAGCATTTAACACAGTTACTTGGATTCTCCTCCCCCTCCCCACAACTTCCACAAAGCCAGAAGCCCACCACTGGTAGCACCAATGGGAGCACCAATGTACATAGGCAGCCGTTGATGACCAGCATTTAATCACCAGCTTGTCTGAGCCTATTCTAAGCAAGTTTAGACAACATGATGGTGAAAATGTCTGAAACCTATTTATACTCGGGCTTCTGCCACTCCACCACCAGTGGCATTGCCCTAGGGGTAATGTAGCAATAAGAGACCGAGGAAAAATGCTGGTGTACCAAGAATGCAGCCAGAAGAAAGATACGTAGAACCAAAAAGGATCTGACCTGCGCCGTGTTTTGGTACAAACCTATTTACTAGGAAAAGTCCTGATGTGCACTTCACAACCCAAGGCCTGCAGGTGTGCGCTAGCTTATCCCAGGAGGAGTCTGAATATCATTTTAAAAAGATAAACACCCCTGTAACCAAAGGTGAAAGTAAGTCAGTGGGGACAGAGCTCTGCATGCTGCTGGTGTAGTGACAAAAATGGCTTCTGTCGCTGCATTCTGGGCAGTGCGGCCATTGCACACCCAGGCTCCAGCTCCAGGGATCCAGTGTCTGGGCAGCATGGTCCCTACTACCATAGCCAGCTCTGGGGATCTGGCAGCTGGCATCTGGTTGTCATGCCACAGCTCTGAACTCTCCCCATGCCCACCCAATCCCCTGCCCTAAGCCTACCCCACACACCCCTGCAATCCCCTGCTCTGACTCCTGCACCCTCCACATTGCACCCACATCCACTCCATGACTGCCATGAGCACCCTGCACTTCATCCCACACTTACATTTCTTACAGGTCCTGGCATATCACAGTCCCCAACCCCTTGACGTGAGCCCCCTCCAGGGCACTGGGATGAGTTGCAATATAACGGTACCTGTAAGAAATGTAAGTTACTTTCACTCCTGCCTGTGACACATGACCATGCTGTTGTATCCTATCTGTCCCAGCCCAGCTTTGTGATCTCTCACAAGAAAAGATCATTTCCTATGAATAAACACCAAATGCTATGTGATGACTTGGTATCATCAGACATCTTAGATGGACGATGGAGACAGCTTTTCTTCCAACATCATGTGTGAGAAACTGTCACAGTTCTGGCAAATGCATTTATATTCTCCCTTTGTGGTCCTCCAAGGACACCTGCTTTAGGCTTCTGGTCCCAGCTGTAACTTCTCTTCAGCAGAAATCCTACATCTCTTTCCATCCTGACCAGGGATTTTAAGGCTTCACAGCTTGATGGACAACACTGATGTATCCCCATCAAGACAGACAATCTAAAAAGGCCAACACTTGCATTTTTCCGTCTCTCTGCAGGCTCTGACCAGTCTAATTGTAGCAGTTAGAAGTTCCCACACTGTTCCTTATAAGCAAGCACATCTATTCTTAAGGTAAAAGCATTACAGTGGACATAAAACAATAAATCTAGAAGGCTTACCAGGAGTCACTCCAACTCCAAACTATGGCTCTGGTGTATATTAGTCCTTTGAAACCCACAACTAGCTTTTATGGAATTACAAATACATCTATGTCGGAACAAGAATAATGGCTGGGCCGGACAGCCATTTCTTTATACTGCTTGAGCCTTTGAGGTTGGCCCCATGGATTTAGCAGATACTGACCATCACCTTACAGCAAAAGCTTCCAAAAGCTGATTTTTTGCATAAGCAGAATTGGGGAATTTGTATGAACTTTTCTCTAGTGATTTCCCAGGAAATCCACTTCACACTTGGTTTCCCAAAAGTCCCTTACTTGCCTGGCACATTTTTAATGTAGTCTTTTGAACTCCCAGGTCTCATATCTGTCATATCTCCCTTGCAGAGAGGTTATCTACAAAATCCTGACTCTCAACAATACATGAACTTACTAACACAAGGTTTTTCAGGGATGTTGTAATAAATTTTTGGCCAGACCATTGTGGAGGCAGGAAAAGGGAATAAGGGAATTTGTGTGCAGTCATCTTATTCTTGTTAGCAAGAGAACAAGTGTCAGGCTAATTCTGACTCTTAACAATGCGAGAGCTGTAATAAAATGCTGCCTTCGCCTCTCGCCTCCATACGGAGATAAGGATGGAATGCTGACCCCAGTAAGAACCTTGAAGATAAGGTAGCATCTGGGAGGAACTAAGAGATAATTGTCTAGCTATTGTTGTATGTAATGGGAAAGTATATAAGCTGCTTCATAATTTGTATTCAAAGATCTGCCGGGGGGTGGGGAGGAGCTCTCCCCACACCCTGAATCAGGCTTCCCTTGCAATATTGCTCAAATAAACTGCTTCTGGCTACTTTTGCTTACAAACGCAGAGTGAGTACATTGTTTTCTTCCACACCATCAAGATACAGTTTGCAGTATATAATCAATATATTCTCAGAAGGAAAAGTCACAATAACATGCCACAAACTAGTATTGAAGTAGCACAAGTTGGTGGCATTCCACAGCTGAAAAGCTGGGATGCACCTTGCCTCTCAGCAGAAAGCCACAAAATGTTGGCTACCATTATTCACATGGGAACCTTGCAAAGTCATTTGACCTGTCTGTGACATTTTTGAAAAGGATTGTTCATGATCTCCATGATTATACATTGCTGCAGTTTTCCATAGAGAAAGAAATGTACCTTATATATTAGTGCTGTAAGCTAGGAAGATGATCATTTTAATCTAAGGAATCCAGAAGTTAAAGATACATTTCTGAGATGCAGCTTAGCAGACCATGCCTCACAACTAGATCTGCACATTGGGAATGCACATTTGAGACAGAACATAAATTGATAATCATGTAGCCCTGATTCACAGCAATGCAACCGTCTACTAGATGAAGGATGTTTGCTCCCAGGTGTAGGGCTTAGATCCTCAGTGAGAGATAGGCCCTAAATATGTTTAAGGATCTTAACCTAGGGGCCTAAAACATTTTAACAGTCTATGTCACTCATTCAACTCCCATGGGAAGAACTCAAGAGACGCTATTTTTTAAAGCTAAACTGTCGCTGTCTCAGCCTGTAGGACTGAGACATGAGCATGAGAAGCTGGGAGTGGAAGACAGGAGTGAATCACTCTGTAAATGCCCTGTCGTGTACATTCCCTCTGAAGCTCTGGCATGGGCTGCAGTCTGAAACAAACTACCAGTATGATGGACCATGGTCTGACCCATTAGGGCAGCTTTTATGTTTGTGCCTTCAGTAGCTGTTGTGACAGGATAAGATATTTTGTTGGTGAAAGAGAATTATTTGAGGGTTAAATTGAGGGAAAACAGAGCTCTGACTTTAGGGTGTATAAGGTTGGGGAAAACAGGGACTACAGTAGAATGCAATATTTGGTTGGAATTGTATGTTTTTTTCCCCCTTGGGCTCAGAGGGCTATCTCTCCTTACTTTATGTAGCTACACAGGACACAGAGGTCAGAATCGGCATTAGAATTAGCGTGCAAAGGGAGATATGTTTGTCTGGAGATCAGCACTGATCTCTGTAGTGGCAGTGCACAGCATCAGTGCTAGGTCACAGCTCACAGCAGAATGAAAAATTCAGTCAAGATCCTTTTGTAATGGCTGATGCACAATAACATGTACAGCAAATGTAGCAATTAACCTCTAGGAAAATAACGACTTTAAATAAAATCTGATTTAGTTATCAAAAGAAGTCACTCACCCGCATGAGTAATCAAAGTCTTTCATAAACAGCAAGCTCCCATAGATTTACAGGAACAGACGGGGCAGGAGGGGGCATTTAGAGTCTTGCAACACTTATCAATGTGGTTGAGAAACTGACCTTTAAGTTTACCTGTTTTGCCTAACACCACATGTGAAACAGCTGTTGTGTGTTCTAACATCACAGTAGCTTGAATTGCGTATCTTATTTCAACCTACAGTGCAATGGAGACACACTGTGGCTACGTCTAGACTGGCCACAAATTCCGGAAAAGGGATGCAAATCAGGTAAGTCAGCATAGGGAAATCTGCGGGGGATTTAAATATCCCCCGTGGATTTAAATAAACATGTCTGCCGCTTTTTTTCCGGCTTGGGGAAAAGCTGGAAAAAAAGCGTCTAGACTGGCGCGATCCTCCGGAATAAAGCCCTTTTCCGGAGGATCTCTTATTCCTACTTTCAAGGGATATTTAAGTCTCCATTGCACTGTAGGTTGAAATAAGATACGCAATTCAAGCTACGCAAATTGCATATCTTATTTCAATCTTATTTCAAAATAACCTGCTATTCTGAAATGTCCCTTACTCCTCGTGGAATGAGGTTTACAGGGACATTGGAATAGTGAGCCCATTATATTTAGAAACATTTCAAAATGCAGGATAGCTATTTCGGGATATTTCCGTATTCCAAAATAGCGCTGCAGTGTAGATGTAGCCACAACGTGCTAAGGAATGAGCCAGCTTAATATGGTGTCTGGGAAATGTAATTTGAGTAACAAGGCGTGTGAACTGCATTGTCAGACTAAAGTCTGCTTATGAAATCTCGTTTTCTGTTCTAACTGGAATAGATTAGGGCTGGAAACAGCAGCCCATGGGATTACAAACACAGGTGTCACCTTTTTACTATAGGCTTCAATTTTTAAAAAAAGCAGAAAATGTCAGGTGTTCAAGTAACTATTGAGCTGAGTCATAAAATTCCAGCTTGTGGACGTGACATGCCTTGCTTCACTCAGTAGTGTCACTAAGGAACAGCCTTGAGGAAAAAAGTCTCATGTCTTGTTCAGCTCCCAAAATCTGCAAAGAGAGGTTTGCTATGGAGTTCAGTAGGAGAAACAGCAGACATCATCACCTTCATTGGCTCTCATGAATTAATTTTATAATTCTTCAGAAATGGACGAGGTCATGGTCCCAGCCATACACCCCAAATTAAAGGGATTATTGTGATGTCCCTATTACACTGGAATGCTCAAGTGTCTCGAGCTGTCTGAGTAATACTAGGTAAAGTTGGGCAAAACATCTGGCTTTTTCCTTATACACTTTTCCTGGTGAAACAAACGTTTTGTGAATACCAAAAGGGATTTTGCAGCACATTTTATTGTCTCTTCCGGGCGCTTGCAGCCACTGAGCCAAATTCTGCCCTCAGGTGCACTGCCGTAAGTGCAGAACTGCATCACAGGCTTTTCTCAAGTCTTATTTCAGTGTAACAGAGCAGAATGTAACCCTAAATCTCACAAAGCTAAATAATTAGCAAAGTGTCCGTTGAGTCTTGATATCCCCTAGGGGGAGCCCTCTGAAACCTCATTCTGAAATATAACGGGCGGAAAACAAGGCAGAGTTGCCACAGAGTGTAAATGGACTTAGTTCAACAGATCAAGGACAGAGCAGTATTCTCCATGGTGTCATCAGGACATAACTAGGTGTGTCTACACTGCACTGTTATTTTGAAATAACGTTATTTTGAAATAGTGTGAGTGTCTACACGGCCATTTCATTATTTTGAAATAATTTTGAAATAACGGACAGCTTATTCTGAAATCTGTAAACCTAATTCTATGAGGAATAACACCTATTCCGAAATAGCTATTTTGAAGATGCTCCACTGCTGCTATTTCGAAATAGTTCCTCACCAGGGCCATTCTAAGTTATTCCTCCCCAGTGCCTCCTGGAGTTTTAAATCGAGATAGCATGTCTACATTAGGGAAGCCTGCATCAGGCTAATATTGAGGCCTCCCTGAGCGTAGACATGCTATTTCAAAATAAGCTATTTTGGAATAATTCCGAAATAACTTATTTTGAAATAGCTGTGCAGTGTAGACATACTAGGAGTAATATTACTGAATTTGAAATAGCTGTGCAGCGTAGACATACTAGGAGTAATATGACTGAACAACAGAGGTAAAATGCATTATGCGTATTTATGAAAGCTTCCAGACACTCCAGAGCTGATCTAAAATAGACCTCCAGGGAAGTGGGTGCATGCCTCATTCTTTAGGTCATTTTGAAACAGATTAGACAAAAACATTCTGCAGAGAATATCCTGCATTGGCCCAAAGGTAGATGGGGGTAATCTCCAGTTCCATCATTTTATATAATCTCTAATGATCTCACTTATACAGCCCAATACAATTAACTGGTGGGGATATGATGTGTAGTACTGTGTATGGAGAAAGTTTACCATCATTGCATGCTATTTGAGGAGACATCTCCATTTAGAGGGGCAGGACTGAAAACAGGCTGTGTTGAGTGAAGATTTGGCATTTCCCAGCAGACTCACTGCTATTCCTCTTCTCCCCCTTCTCTCCTCTCCGTAAACGATTTGGCATTTCCCAGCAGACTCACTGCTAATCCTCTTCTCCCCTTTCTCCCCTCTCCGTAAATGTTGTTTACCGATACTGCATAAAGCTACTGCATAGGGTCCAAAGTGTGCAGAGCTGTATTCCCAGCTTTCCCCGCTGCCTTGGATTTTCTATCTAGAGACATCCACGGGCCCATCACCAACATTAATAAATGTAGCCTCACAATCTCTGAGCATTATTATCCTCACCTCGCAGAGAAGGAATTGAAGCAAAAAGATAAGTGACCAGTCCAACATCACACAGGAAAGCTGTGTCCCGGGGCCAGGAAGTGAACCCAACCAAGGGTTTCTTAAATGCCACGCTTGTGACTTATCCACAACACCAGCTTTATCTTCTCTGTGCCTTCCTTTCCCCCTGCTCAAGTTATTCTCAATAATTGACATTACGGAAGTATTTAGAAGCCCCAAACACATACATAGTAAGAGACAGTTCCTGTCCCAAAAAAGCATGCAATCTAAATAGACAGAAAAGACAAAGGAAGTGAGGGAAAACAAACAAAGAAGTTAAGTAAGGGTGCGTCGGTCTACACCGCAGGGCTTAACTCGAAATAAACTACACAAATAGAGTGATGTCAATTGCGTAGCTTATTTTAAAATAGCTTACTTCGAGTTTAGGAGCTGTCTACACAGCATTTAATTTGAAATAGAGCACTCTTCCTCCGACTTCCCTTACTCCTTGTACAATGTGTGTTACAGGAGTCAGAGTAAGAAGTCTTCCAGCTGGACAGTATTTCGCCCTGGGCTCCATGTTGCATTGCTGATTTGAAATGGCACGCGGAGCCCAGGATCAGCTGGGGACTCCCCGGTTGATCCCTAGTTCTGCAGAAATGCTGTGTGGAGCCCGGGATCAGCTGGAGTCCCCAGCTAAGCCTGGGCTCCATGCTGTGCTGCCACTTTGCAAAACCTGGGCTCAGCTGTGCGATGCTGCTGCTTTGAATTAGCCCCTCTTACCACCCCAACACCCACTCCCATTTGCTGCCTCCATCTGATTTGAGTGAGTCCAAAGGAAAGGTGTCCATTAAATAGTAATCAGTCCTCCCAGTGGCTAACATTCACATTACTATTAAGGGAAAAAAATGTTAATGTAGCATTTAGAAATCTAAATTTATATCCCTTTTAAACTGCAGAAAGGTGAAATCCATATCCCCAAATAATAAAAAATCAACTCATGTCTCAAAAAATCAAGCAAGTGGCGCAAGTGACCGTTTGGGTTCA